ACAGTCTAACCGCAAACTTCAACCCAAATTCTGGACAGTTATAACAGTAAATATTTCTTGTTAAACCACATGTTTCAAGGAAAGAATATTCGGATACTGCGCCGAAACAGAAACCGATTTCAGCTACAATTTAGACAATCCACATTAAATAATTCATTTAGTACTCGTCGATCAGTGCATAAATAACGTGTAAATCACCTTGAGTTCTGACCAAATTCGATTGTTTCAAAATATTCCTGAGAATATACTTCGAAATTAAGAAACTAGATAAAATTCTCTTAATTCTGATCCTTATTGCTTGATATCGTCTGAACTATGCTAAGTGAAGTCTAATAGAATTCACTAAGTGGACATTTCTTAATAAAAGACGTTTAGATTCTGCTGCCTTTAAAGGTACTTCGCTCGGCGTAAGTGAAGTTCAATCAGGGTATACAAGATAGCTGAGAGCTTGTTGAGTTCAACAAACCTTGCATTTGTTCTCCCCTTAAAAAGTCCTCTAACCAAGCATTATCTGCTTATATCTGTATATTATTGTAGCTGGTATTGACAGTTGACTGTCGACCGTCGGCTGACAACAAGCATCAGAACACTGGTACTTCATAATTCCTGGTTTTCACAAATTTCTGAATTAACTTTTAAATTAGTATCGAGAATATAATTTTCTAAATGATATTCGCTCAGCATTGATCACTTAAATAAAACCATGTAAAAGCGGACAGCTGATCCAAAGAGAATAGGCAATAGCGTATGTATGTCTAAAACAGCTCGTTTTATTCTACGGGTCTCTTTTTCTGCATTGCTCGCAACGCAGCATTTGATCATTTGCGTACCACCCGACCAACACCAGTCAGTTTAGATGTGGAATGCGCGATTAGAAGAAAAACATTACTTAACTTCCAGATAGAATAGAAAAATATATTTTCAGCAAATGCAATAGACACTGTAAAGAAAGTTGTGTTTCAAAACTCGCTCTTGGGCCTGACTCTTAGAGCAATGTCGCAGAGGGGGAACATCACCCAAAACGGCGACGACAGGGATGATGGATGATAAGAGCAGAAAAGCGGGACAGGGTTAAGCTTGCGGACGAGAGGAAGGGAGATAGATACCGTTTTGGCAGTTGCATTAACCATGAATGTTGGCTAAAAAGCAGTAGGGTCAAGGACTGAAGGGATCGTTGGAGAAGGAGTCAGGTAGGAAGTCCTCCTTCCTAAGTTGTAGAAAATGTTAAAGGTGTGGTGGGAATCGCCCGCAGTATAGGTCTAAAACATTGCACTGCAACGTTTGTACGTATGAGGATATGGTTCTTTGCGTTTGCGTGGTTCAGCGAACGGAGAGCTTGTGTTGGGGAGTCCTTCCGACAATATACTTTCCAGTTCGTCATCACATTATCAGGCTCCTTAGCTTCCGAGAGGGTGGTCCTGAGTTAAGCCGGGTTGTCAGTTTGCGACATGTGTTTGTCTCTTCAAGCCCATGGAGGGACATGACCTTAAAATGTTCGCTAACTCACTGCCCTCCAACTCCAAAGAGGGCCTTCGGCGAGAGTGTGCGGAAAGACCTTCAGTGTAGGAACCAAATGTTTTCTTGAATGGATTACTTATAACATTGAGCAAACTAGGTACTATACCTGGAGTGGCAGGCGGCGATGAGGTGGTTGGCAGTGAGACTAGGACATCAGGCGGTCTTTCAAAGTTACCATAGGTCGCAAAAGTAGGTGAAACACTGCTAGGGGGGTTGGTGGGAAGACTTTCTTTAGTTTCATGGAGAGAGAATTTAAAACCGGGATTGGAGACCAGCTCCACCTGATCGGCTGGGGACCCTAAGCAGGCAACTGAATCGTTCTCGGCGTCGTTACTTGACGAAAATCCGATAATTGGTATGCCTTCAGTAGGTTCCTCAATTTCAGCCGCCTGATCATTGTTCACCTGCTGATATAATTTTGTGGCTGTAGCGCCCTGCAAGACGGAATCATGATGGGGTTTTGTAGCAAAAGCGCTGGGGAACTTTGTCTTTTCTGCCATTCTGGGGCTACCACCGGTCAAGTGCGGCCGAGTTTCACTAGAAATGGAACCCTTAAATGTCGCACCCTCAAAGAAGCCTTCGTTTGCGCTGGAATTGCGTTTGCCTTTAGGGGACAGTGCGGAAATTGACCCACTGGGGCTGGAAGTCTTACATGAGGGACAAGAGGAGACAGTGACAAAAGTCTGTTTTTCTTCAGTATCGGTCTCTCGGTGATAGAAGTAATTGAAATTAGACACAATCACGGGCACTGGTAATGCAATGGTGAGGACACCTGCGATTGCACACAGAGAACCAACTAACTTGCCCCAGACCGTCACTGGCCTCATGTCTCCGTAACCCACCGTTGTCATGGTAACGACGGCCCACCAGAATGCATCGGGGATGCTGCGGAAGTAGGTCTTTTCTGCGTCGATCTCTGCAAAGTAAACAGCTGAAGAGAAGAGGATAACGCTGATCAGAAGGAAGAATACGAGGAGAGCCAATTCACGAATACTGGCCTTTAATGTTTGACCAAGAATCTGCAGCCCCTTTGAATGGCGAGATAATTTAAAGATACGAAAAACGCGAACCAGTCGAATGACTCGGAGAATGGTCAGTGACATTGCCTGGTTCTGCCGTTTTGAGTCATCTGCAATTACAGTGCCGAGTGTGATAAAGTACGGGATGATGGCAACAATATCGATAAAGTTCATAATATTCCTGAAGAAAGCCATCTTGTGGGGGCAGGATGCAAATCGTACCAACAGTTCAAATGTGAACCAAATAATACAAACTGTTTCGATAATAAAGAATGGTTCAGCGAGATGAGGGATATCGTCCTCTTCGATAATTACGTCACTGAAAAGGTCTTCCCAGTGGGCACTTTCAGCAGAAGGGTTTGCTTTCAACATCCTTTGGGCAGTTACAGTAACAGGAGCATCCGTCCATCCGATTGCATTTGCTGTTGATGTTAGACTCGGGGTGGTTGAGGATGAAAGCACACTAGTTTGCCGGGTTGTTCTGTTTGTAATTCGATAATGCTTAAAGTTAGGAAGTGTTTCGACGCAAAATATGACGATGGAAAGAACAATAACAAATACTGAACAAATTGCAATGCATCTTGCAGCTAAGGAGCTCTCCGGATATTCAAAAAGTAGCCACACCTTCCTCTGAAATTCATTATCCGGAAGAAGTTTAATTTCTTCCTTAATGAAACCTTCATCATCGCGATACTTCTCGATGGCGTCCTCGTCCAACTCGTAAAAACTGATTTCCTCAGTGAATACATCAATAGGCACGTTGACCGGACGGCGCAGTCGACCTCCGCTCTGGTAGTAGTACAGAATAGCGTCGAAGCATGGCCTATTCCTATCAAAAAAGTATTCATTTCTGAGAGGATCATAGTGTCGATTGCGCTTCCTGGGGTTGCCTAGCAGGGTGTTTGGAAACCGATTAAGGGTTTTCAGTTGAGTTTCAAAGCGCAGACCAGAGACATTGAGAACAATTCTCTCATCCTCATATATTCGGCGTTCAGCGTAAGGGGGATCATAGCCTAAAAGCTGGCTCTTGTTGCTAATTTGTAGAGTAGGACGTGCGTTGTCGCCTCCTCTGTACACGGAAAACTGCTTGTTCACATCTTGATCACCCGAGGTAGACGTCACCGTAGTCATCTCCAGTGGAGCGTCTGACTGGCTGGTAACCTGGTAGGTAGTTTGACGTGAAAGGGACGGCCGACTTTTCTTAGTGGCCACACCAGCCTTGGTCTTGGCAGAAGGTCCAAACGGAACAGCAGAGCCGAATGAAACGATGACCTCTGCGATATCCACTTTGGTCTCAGCGGTTGGCGAGTTTGCATCGTTTTCACTGTCGGGTTTTACTGAGGCTGTAGCTGTTACGGAGGATGCAGTGGCGTTGGGCAAATGGCCGCCGCTCGGCAGACCGGTTCCACCATATCCAGATGCGCCGGAAAGGTTACCGAAAGCGCGGAGGGAGTACTGTCTGTGAAGAGGAAAGATGGATGCATGTGAGCATTGGCAACGGGTGGGGCATTTTTGTGATACTACCTAGGCATAGAGTAGATTATGTCGGATGTTATCTCTACGTCATGCCGTGTTTGAAGTTGACACTAAAAGGCTGAGACTACATTGGGGTGCTGTTTTATGTGGTTGTTTAGAGAGTTGAGTCTGTGCTCGGATGTCCAAAGCACGTAACGTAACAAATTGACCTTTAATGGAGGAGCAACGTTTTTCAAAATACTGGTGCATGCCACAGACCTCAACTGTCAGTATTCTTGGCAGAGGGGCAATTTTGACAGAAACAGTTTGACGCGATGAGCTTAGAGCAAAATATGGATACTTGGATTCCACGTAGGGACGTAATTAATTCGACGGAAAAACAGAAATTAAGCAAACACTCAGGCAGACCGATGAAAATTTTTCTACGTAATAAAATACGAAACGAGAAGTGAAAGGATTTTTTGGAACGGTGGATAGAAATGTAACGAAACACACGCATGAGAGGGTCTTGGCCAAAAAGGCTCTTTTAACCATTTTTTCAGGAGTAATGTTTTCAATATAAAGCACTACTTTTGTTTCGAAGTACTTCTAAATTTGAAACAGCCTCTCAAGCTATTAAAGGAATCGAATGCCGCAATTCAGTTAGTCAAAAGCCCTATAAAAATACTGGTGAACTACGAAATTGGCAGAAATTTCTGAGACTGCTTGCAACCGTTGTGAGTACAATCATATTTAGTCTATATGGTTTAAGGACAATTAAACAACGTTTTAATGCTGCAACATAACGCAAAAAAATATAGCTTTCTACTTTGATTAAATGGCTGAGGCACGGAAAAGATGAAAATCCATAAGAAATTAATAACCCTAGAAGATATGTTGACGGAGAGCTGGCGATGACTGCATTAAATTATTTAGGATTTCCGTATGTTTTTGTTACGCAGGCCTTCTTTTCGTTTTTTTATTTCGGCTTCAATCACGTAACTTGAGCTTGCAAGAGATGTGCTCCTGTTCTTAGAGGTTTAAGGAAATAACTTAAAGGGAGTACTACCTGCTCAATAATAAACTCGTCTCTTGAAGATCCATGAATGAAGGAATAAATTTGCACAACCACAACTGCCGATTTCTACTAGCTGAATATTCGAAAACAAGGACCACAGTTAGCAGATCTGCAAATCGATCGACTTCCCGCTGTTTTCCTTCAGTTCCCCTCCTGCAAGTTTGGTGCATTCACACCTAATGTATTCCATTTGGTTTCTGTAATACCATGTCAGCTATAAGCTGATTTACTGTATTATAACGAGCAAACAGACAAATCTACGTTCAGGTGCACAGAAAACATAGTAGATAATTACGGACGTAGCTGAGAGCAAATACAAAAACTTTGTTTTCATTTATCGTATCTTGCAAACTCGTTTCCTATCATTTAATACTATTTAAGTGTAAGTGAGTTCCTTGAATGAAGGGTTGAGACGATTATTAAGAATGAAATTCTGTTTGTATAATCCTACTAGTCTGCTTGAATGTCTGCCTCCAAGATCAGGAAGAGCACGCGTGCTAAAAGATATTATTGACGACGCAAGATTATTTACTATGCGGCCACTAAACAGAATATAATCATTACTTTAATATTTTTCCTTATGGTCTCAAAAATGGAGAATCCATGTCTTATAAATGTCTAAACTGCATGGCATTTTTATGCAGTATTCGTTGTCTGAATCTGTCAAAAAGCTGCAAACGGTCTCAAGGGATTCAGTATTTTGACTGAATGTGATATTTGTTCAACACAAACAGTCGGTGAACCAACCTTCCTTGCTTTAAGTTAAGTGCAATATATGTTTACCAGGTGCCACATTAAATGCCAGAACTGTTTAAGATATCCTAAGTATATTTCCTATATAAATCTAATGCAGGATTTCCATGATTCAGACGGTTATGCCCTTTGCAGAAGAACAAATTTTGAGGAATATTTCAGGGAATGCTGGTCAAATGCAGCACGATATTACCAGGATCTTGTATCTAGCCAATCGTGGCCTAAACGTTTACTCATTCAAAAGGCTCGAGAGCATGTTTTTTTCAGTTGAGAGAGGCAAGGTCAGGTGCTGAAATAATTTTATATTTTTACGGTGTGTTCCTTCCTGCAGCCGTCACCAGTCAGGTAGTGATACTAGTTTTTATAACACGACCCAATGTTTCTCTTCGTTGATATAGACAGAGAAAATTAATTTTTCGCCAAACTTAAAGTCGTAATTGAACTTTAATTATATTTCGTAGACAACTTATTCTTGGTTTTCCTAGTGAACAGGACTGGTGCATGCCGACAGATTCACCTGTAGAAAAAGGACCATAAGAAAATCTTTCAAATTTGCAAGTTCATATCAACAACATTTGCTATCAATATTAGTGAGAAAACTGGTTGTCAAAAGCTGGGTTTCAGTGATATTTTTAGAATCACTAGGTCCACAGTAAAACCGTTTCATCTTTTGGGCACCCGATAACAAATTGCCGAAAGGAACTATTTGCAAGCCTGTCCTCTTGGAATTTAAAATAGACAAGTGTTTGTTGACATTAAGGATAAAAGTCCTGCCGTCTTAATCTACTGCAGCATACAACTGATGACCAAGCCGAGTAGTTTGGATAGGTTTATAATTTGCGGGGGCGTGCGTTAAAATATTTGCAAAAAACGCGTATGCTATCGAAATTTCTAAATATAAATTCTTTTCAAACATATAGCAATTAATGATAATAAAGCCATCAGAATCACCAGCGAACGCGGTTCAAAAATAGCAAACTCATAGATCCCGATTTTCTTCTGACGGACTGATGAATAACTGTACTGAAATAGACAACATCCCTTGGGGTAGACAGTGACCTTGAAATAGATACCTATAAATGTCTAAATATTGGAAATTCTGCAATGCTCACCTATATTTAGAAAACTTGCCTGAAGACCCAATTTCTGGCCTATGTTATCAAGATCTGTTGGCTGTCATTTCCGTAGAATCTCTCTCTCCAGTCTTTTACTAGTCTTAAAGTGGACTCTTTTGTATTTGGTTCGGAGAAGCAGTCTTATAAATCAGCGCCATTCGAAGTACGAGCGTGATATTTCTTATCAAGCGAACAGGATTAATGGCACTTCTTAGCTACTTTAAATTCTAAACTTACTATGAGCATTCGTCCTCTCAGTTAAATGCAATAATTTATAAACGAATGACAGCTTGCATTAGACAGACTGGTAATTAAATAAAATTATCCCATTCGGTGTGACGGAAACAACTGCTGAGGGCATGTGGAGCAAAAACCTGCCAAAAAGGAGGCCATTTATAATTTGACAGAACTTTTAGAAAATTGAAAAGAAGGAACTGTGTCACAGAAGAACATAATAAATCATAATGCTCCTAAATCAAACTTTACATTTAAAAGTTTTATTTCCAGTCCGTTTTACTTAATTCCGGAATACTTTATTAAAAAATTCCCCTTGAATTTTAAAACTGTGTCTCAGTTTGCTTTTGGCATCGAGCGTGCCGTTAAACAATTCGCATAGTTGTCACTCAATGAAGTTTTGCCTTATCTCAAAATCTCTTTCGCAGTATGGATTACCGTTTCGGAGGTACACTTCATGCAGTCCTTTAAAGTAAAAAAGATGGTCTTTTAGACATCATGTTATATAAGGGCCATGATCTTTACGAAAGGAACGTAGTAAGAAAGGGCTCAAATCTCTTTGAATCTTTGGACTTCTTTTCTTAAACCTACATCGAAACTTGAGCTATGCAAACAGCCACAGTCAAAGAAAACAGAACGATTTGTAGAATTTGCAAAGTTCTTGGTATTTTCAGTCAAAAATGTAGAAGGTGGACTTTCCTTATGACGACTCCATTAATCCTCGTACGAAATTAGCTGGAAAGAAAATTAGGAACATATTGTGGTGTGAAATTCATATTTTTCGTCTAAATGCCCAACAACCGATATATAAGCCAAAATTCTATGTAGATATCTCATCCTCGGTGTATGATTCCCCGTTGATTATCATGAGTGCCATTAACCACGTTTTTATTCACTACGGGTCATTCTGTTTATTTGATGCTAATTGTGTAAAGATGGCTGTTTGCTTACGTTACGCATACACTCAGTGGTGTTCCATGTTGCTTTGATGGTGGTAGGCCCAACAACTTGAGTAAAATTTATAATTTTTGGTTTGCTGCAAAAGAGTAGGTCAAGAAGCCAATATCCATGTAAAGCACTACTACTTGCCATACATTTCTTTCTGTTTATTTGATGTTCATCTTTCAAACAATTATCGCTTGCTTTCGTTGAGAATGTAGATTATGAGATTATGCGTTGCCTTGACGATATCATATTGAAAACTGTAATTTCTATCTGAAAGTGCGATTTTTTCAAAGTGTTCTAGCTGTCATGACTTATCTAGGTAGTTTATAATTAAAAATGAAAAAGGCCTTCGGGCCAAAAACCCTTTTCAGGTTGCGTTTGTCGTCAAAACATGAAGCAGCATTAGGAGTTTCTTTTTCATGCCTTAAATAGTTCAGACTTCTATTTTTTACCAAATGCTAAATCTCGATCGTTTTTACTAGTGTTAAGTCTTTCTAAAAGCTTGTTCTCATTTAACAAAACATCGCGGAACAAAAAATATTGATGTTCGGCCGCATTTGACGTCACATTTTTTATGGATTTAAGGATGTTGCAAACACCTACCGATCTTCTGTCAAATATACATTCTCTGCATTTACTGCATTTTAGCTTGCCAATTTATTCTGCGCACCAGCTGCGTACTGTAATATCAGAATTCTCGTTTAGCTAGCCATTATTTACTTAAAACCCTAAAATTTTTGCTTAAGATTTATTTTTATCATCATTTTTTTGAACCACATAATGTAGCTTAGAGAAGACCTGGCAGTGGTAGGTAATATATGGAGAAGTTTTTCGGGACAATTAGGTTTTATGTGCGGATTTCCTTGTTCGTCCTGGGTTTAGCACCACACGGAATAAGAAAAAGTCACATGCTACCAGGTTGAAAGGTTT